TTTTTTCCTTAAGAGATAGTGTCTTGCTATGTTGCCCAGGTTGCTCCCAAACTCCTGGGCTCAAGCAGTCCTCATACCACAGCTTCTCAAGTAGCTGGGACTACAGACATGCACTTCCACACTTGGCTTACACTGGCATTTTTGATTGCCCATTAGTAGAAACTTCTTTCACTGACATTGCTGACAGAGATACCTTGCCATAGCTTGCCTTCTCCCCTGCCTTATGACTTTGGCCTGGAACTGGCCTTTTGTCCCCTCCCCTTTACAATCAATGGATTTCTGGTATCCTTTCAGCACCCAGGAGAGATCTAGATGGCTTGATCTGGGCTAGGCAAGCCGGGAAGAACAGGCATGTCTTTCCATCCACTCCTTAATCAGTTGGTGGGCAATGGCTAACCTGGGGGGCAAAGAGAATGGGAGTGTCTCATTCTCTTGCTGAATATAGGGGCCCTTTCTCCTCAGCGCTGTGGCCACCTCATCATGACTAAACCAGGCAGCTGCCTCTAGTTCTCTCAAGTTCACCTGGATCTGAAAGACATAAGGAAGAAAGGAACATAAGGTTAAGAGCTATAAACATTTAAATACTATGGCCAAAGATGAGAAAATGGTTACAGAACTAACAGTCCTAGCATGTGGGATCTACAGGCTAGATATTGCCCAGAAACAAAAGAGGTCTAGCTAAGAAATGAGAATTAAACACATTTTTTAAAATAATTTTTAAAAATATATTAAGCAAATCCTATAAGTACAGGATAGGGGTATAGCTCACTGGCAAGAGCATAACAACCTAGTATGTGAGGTCTGGGTTCAATCCTTAGAACAAAAAAGAAAGTATGGAAGTAGAAATATTCAACTATCATGAGTGGTAAATTATAAATAATATGTGTTTTTCTTTGTGACTCAGAATTTAAAAAGAACCAACAAATGTTACTCTTTCTTTAAAGGATGAGGGGTTAATGATAATCAAATGTATAGAATATTCCTTGCAAGAAGCAAAGTAACTCAAACTTCATTCATAGGAAGCTGAAATAGATTGGATATTCTATGAAAACCAAATCACACAATAGGCAGACTTTGGAAGGCAGGGACCACAAGGCAGTTTGTCAGGGATGCTGCAATTTGTTATACATATTTTATTCCTACTAAATATAATCTCAATGATATATATATATGATTATATAAATATAATCTCAATGATCTGAATGATAAATTGTCTTGTATAATCCAGATGTTGGCACAACTGGATATCCACTTGCAAAAGGATGAAATTGGGTCCCTATCTCATACCAAATACCAAAAAACACAACTCAAGATGGATTAAAGACTTAAATGTAAAACTTGAACCATGAGCCTCTTAGAAGAAAACATAGGTGATAATCATCTCCCAGACACTGTTTTTTTCAGCTATGACACCAGAAGGCAGTATAAGCAAAAATAGACAGGATTACATCAAACTAAAAATCTGCACAGCAAAGGAAAAACAAAATGAAAAAGCACCCTATGGAATTGTAGGAAATATTTCCAGACCATATATATCTGATAATAGCAAAATAAACCCAAATAACCTAATTAAAAATGGGCAAGGGATGGAGATGTACCTTAGCGGTAGAGTGCTTGCCTAGCATGCATAAGACCTTGGGTTCAATCCCATCACTGGGGGAAAAGAGTGGGCAAAATACTAAATAGCTACTTCTCAAAAGAAATACAGATGACTAATATGTATGCAAAAAAATGTTCCCTATCACTAATCATCAGAGAAATGAAAATCAAAGCCACACTGAGATATCAACTAATTCTTGCTAGGGTGGCTATTATCAAAACAATTCCAAAAAAAAAAGGAAGCTACATATTGTGGCAAACATCTGTAATCCCAGCACTTGGGAGGCTAAGGCAGGAGGATCAAGGTCAGCTGGGACTACATAGTGCAAAAACCAGACAACAAATATCAGCAGGGATGTGCAGAAAAGAGAATCTTCATATACTGTTGGAGAAAACATAAATTGGTTTAGCCACTATAGAAAACAATATGGATATTTCTCAAAAAATTAAAAATAAAATTACTGTTTGATACAGGAATCTCACTTTTGGATATATATACAAATAACTTGAAAACTGCATCTCAAAGGAATATTTACATTCCTATGTTCCTTGCAGCATGACTCACAATATCCAAGATATGGAATCAACCTAAATACCAGTGAATGAATAAAGGAAATGTGGCATATACATATGATGGAATACTACTGAGTCTTAAGAAAGAAGGAAATCCTGGGCTGGAGGTGTGGCTCAAATGATAGAGCACCTGCCTACCAAGCACAAAGCCCTGAATTCAAATCCTAGTACCACCAAAATTTTTTAAAAGAAGGAAATCCTGCATTTGTAACAATGTGATAGACCTAGAAGACATGTTATGTGATATAAACCAGATAAAGACAAATTCTGCATGTTCTCACTTACATGTGGAATCTAAAATAGTTAAACACAGAAGCAAAGAGTGGAATGGTGGTTCCCAGAGGATGGGAGGAAGGGGAAATAGAGAAGTGTTAGTCAAAGGATATAATGTTTCACTTACACAAAATAAGTTCTGGAGACCTGCACAACATAGGGCCTATGATTAAACAATACTGTGCCAAATACACTAAAATTTGCTAAGAAGATGGATCTTAAGTTAACTACTCTTATCAGAAAGAGAAAAAAATAAAGGGGGTAGGAAGAAACTTGGAAATGAGTAAATTTATGACATTGATAATGATGACTGATGCTTTACCGGTATATACTTATCTCCAAACCCATTAAGTTGTACACATTAAATATGTACAGCTTTTTGTAGGTTGATTATACCTCAAATAAAGTGGTTAAAAAGAAAATGAAATTGTCTCATGATTGAGGTATGTGCAAGGGAGAATGGCCATTATTTTTTTCTTTACTAAAATGCAAATTCCTTAAGGGTATAAACCATATCTTACACATCACTGCACAAGCTAAACAGTGCTAGATAAGTACTCCATCAGTAGTTGCTGACCACAGATTGGATGAAGCGAAGGAAAAATGTCAGCATAGGGAAATAAGAACTTACCTCTGTCTGCCCTGGTTTCACAGTTGCATGACAAGCAATCATGAGTGAGCTATTGGGAAAGGGCCAGTGCTGGGAAGCAGAGTACTCTAGTCTTTCCACTTCCAATCCCACCTCTTCTGCGACTTCCCGCCGGACAGCTTCTTCCACACTTTCACCTGCAAACACTCAGATTAATTCAGGACAGCCCTGCAGCAGGAAGGTTTTATAGAATGTACCTATATCATGATAGTCTCAATGAAATACTCTCAGGAATGTCCTAAATCTGTGTCTTTCCAACAACTGGAAGCAGGTCTGAAGCTGGATGTTGAACTGCAGTGCTAATACTACTAGGTTAGTTATAATGCAAAGTAAGGATGACAGTGAGTATGGCTGCTGCTAACCTCAACTTTTAATACAATTCTACTTTTCACTGTTTGCAAATCTTACCCCAGTAGACTAAAACACAAAACAAAACAAAAAACCCCATAAATAAATGTGAAATTCTAGCTAGTATTATGCATGCTAAAATATTTAGGAAGAAGTGTAATATGATTGCAATCTGTACATCAAAAAATAAGACTGATAGATGAACATACATGTGATAAAGTTGGTATAACAAAAACAGAATTTAAGGAAAGAGTAGGAAATACTCTGGAATTAGTAGGTATACATAAGAACTTTCTCAATGGAACCCCAGCAGCACAGCAACTAAGAGATAGCATAGATAAATGGGACTTCATAAAACTAAAAAGCTTCTGCTCAACAA